TTCTGCGCCCAACAATGGGCTCCAACACTATCCATCCAGATCAGAAGATTAAACAGACGGTCGCGTTTGTACCACAAGAGGGAGCTCTAAACCGTTCATTACCGTGTTTTCTACCCAGCAGCCTGGGGCCAGGAGCAGCTTGGCGATGTAGGAATGCCTTGATTCCAATTCCAGCACTGCAACTAATAAACACGTTAAACTAAACTAAATAAGGTATCGCTTCATTTAAAAGCATATTGTGTGTTGGTTTGGTGGAGTATGCTTGCAATTCCAGCACTGGAGAAACTGAGGCAGGGGCATTGTGGAAAGCTGGAGACCAGCCTGGACTCTCAAAAAACCGTAACAACAGAAGATACCAGAAGTTAAGGCCAAGTCTGCTCCACCCCACAGTTTCTGAGCTGCATAATTAACACACTGGTGGGATGGCCAATGCATTTGACATGAGATGCTTGTTAATTAGTTAACTTTTTCTATCCTTGTCAGGGGTGACAGAGATGAAGGGGGCTAAAGCCAAAGACAGGAGCCCAGAGCCCAGACAAATCAGCACTGTTTGCTGTAGCTACAGACACTGGGAAACACCATGAGTTCAAGAGCAAACAAACCCGCAGTGCAGGTGCAGGGATAGACAACTATGGGATGGATGCTCTGGTGTTCCCCGTCACCATAGCAACGCCAGAACAACTGGCTCTTCCTGGTGGGCTCAGAAAGACCTGCCCAGCTGGGCCAGAGGATAGGGGAAGGGTGGGAAAATCTAAGGGCACCTTAAGAGCTAGACCCACACTCTGTTCAGAAGTCCTGACCTGCCCCAAGGCAGGCGGCTCTCACTCAGCCCAGAGCCTGGGGCCATCATTCCCCCTCCCCAGCCACCTGCCGCTCATTCTCTGCCTGCCCCACCCTGAATGCGGGTCTTCTCATTTTAATTAATTAGTTTTTATTCCTCCTATATAACATGTTTACAAGCAAGGAAAACAGCTTTCAAACTTTTCTTTGGCAGTACTTAACCTTTGTAAATGGAAGGTAGGGCTGGAGAGATGGCTCAGAGGTTAAGAGCACTGGCTGCTCTTCCAGAGGTCCTGAGTTCAATTCCCAGCAACCACATGGTGGCTCACGACCATCTGTAATGAGATCTGGCGCCCTCCTCTGGTGTGTGGGCATATATCGAGGCAGAATGTTGTAAATGGAAGGTAGCCATGAAGCAGATAGAACCAGACCGTGCAGGGTCTCCCTCCCCAGCTGCTAAGCCCTTTCCCTTGGTGACTTCACTCTCTGACTGCCAGGATCTTAAAGGCACAGCTTCCACAGCCGAGCGGGTCCCTTAGTTGGGTCTCACAGCCTCTGTGACCAGCAAGGACAGGTCCTCTTGTTCCCCTCAGCAAGTGCACCTGATATCTCAGGAGAAGCCCTGGGGCTCAAGGGCTGGACTCAGGGGTTCAATGCAGTTGTTCCAGAAAAACAGGCAAAACGAAGGCACTGCATTTTAGGTCCATCCCAGGATGTGGTAGCTTAGTGCTTACAGCTCTTCCTACGGTGCTCAGAGTAAATCTGGAAAAGGAAGAGGCTTCCTGGGAAACGCTGGATCCCATCAGCCACAGCACTGCACAAGCGGGGGGTGGGGGGGTCCTTCAGCGAGCAGGCTGGCCGGTCACCTACGCTCAGTTCTCTTGTGTCTGCACACCCTCATCTTGTCCTCCCACAGTTCTCAGCCCACTCCAAGACTAGTGAGGGTCTCAGGAAGTCAGCCTGCACAAGAACACTATTGGGGCAGAGCCTCAGCCGGCCTCGCCTTCTCTCAATTAGTGGTCTAAGGGCACAGGCTCCAGCCCCACCCTGGAGGAGCAGGAGCCATTCACTCTCTCTTAACACTGAGTCAGTCGGGTGACTGAGTTCCTTCGAGGCTGTGATGGAGGTGTGGGGGAAACCCAGCAGGCGGAGACTTCTGACCTCTCCATAAACCTTGTCCTGTGAACGCATTCTAGAGCTCTGGGCCCTTTGTCCATAAGACATGTATGCCAACCCCCAGCACCTCTGCCTGGTTCACTGTGTCTATGCGCCTGGGCGTGGGACACGCTGACTGAACAGCAGTGGGGAGGTGAGCCTGCTTTTCTAGCTGGGAAGGAAGGCTGTAGGAGAAGCCAGGAGAAGCCCCACTTCTATGAGGGGACTGTCCTGAGCTAGGCCCTCCGTCTTACCTGGAGGAGCCCCACCCTGGATCCCTCTGCTCAGCAACACCGTCAAAACTGCTATCCAGGGGGCCACAGGGAGCCACGGGAGCATCGTGGAGCTGGAAGGGTGGGTGAGGGGAGGAAATGGTAGCAGGGGATGGAGGACTCCCTAAGCCTGGCTGCCGGGTGAACAGCAGAGACTGTGGCTAAAGTTGTCTGCTATGACCCCAGAATCAGACAGAGTCTGAGGAAAGAACCAATCAGGCTTGAGCTTCCTATGAGTCACCAGTCACTGGGTAGATGGCGGCAGAGGCCTGACCACCTAGTGGGTGATGCAGGTGAGATGGCATCTGAGGAGAGAGGACAGTGACGCTTGCTTTGATAACCTGGGTGCATCGTGAGATTTGGGGGGAATTGTGCTCTGTTCTGAGTGCGGTGAGACGGTCTGCTGAGCCGTCGTCGTCTCGGGGACTCTCGTTCCTCCAATCCCACTGCCTCGCATGCCCTCACGGGACAGGGGATGGGGCTAGGGTGTGAAAGGCGATGCATCGGCAGGACTTCCATAGCGTGTTCTGTCAGCATCCAGCATTCAGACCGAGTCCGGGACCTGTCTGCTTTGCCGCTGCCCAGGGGCATGTTCAGGAGAACCACCTACCCGCATCGTCTTTCTCTCAGAGGTCTGTTGGTCCTGGAGGGAACAGGAGTCCCAGGGCACCTCCCCAGGATACCTTACAGGGTCCCCCAACCTAGGAGTAAGGCACACCCACAACTGTGTAAATATCTGATTTTAAGGAGTTTGATTGGGGACTTGGACGTCTGCAGATGTTATAAACCACCTGACAACGACATTGTGAAGGTCATGTGACAGGAATAGAGCTCAAACTCCTTCAAGACAGTCAGTCAGCCCTGAGGGGATAGAACAGACCGGTAAACAAGGTGAGAGACATAACTACCAAAGCCCAACCTCCTGAAAATATCTGATTATGTCGTGTTTATCATGAATATTTTCATCAACTTCCAAAGGGGATCATTCCCTACTTTATAATTTATAGCTGAATCCTGTGAGGCCACAAATTCTGGTAAAGAAAACATTATCCAACACTCAGGAGGCAGAGGCAGGAGGATCTCTGTGAGTTCAAGGCCAGCCTGGTCTATAGTGCAAGTTCCAGGACAGGCTCCAAAGCTACACTGAGAAACTCTATCTTGAAAAACAAACAAACAGGACTAGAGAGGTGGCTCAGAGGTTAAGAGCACTGGCTGCTCTTCCAGAGGTCCTGAGTTCAATTCCCAGCAACCACATGGTGGTTCATAACCATCTGTAATGAGATCTGGTGTCCTCTTCTGGAGTGCAGGCAGAACACTGTATACATAATAAATAAATCTAAAAAAAGAAAAAGAAAGAAAAACTAAAAAGAAAGAGGAGAAATATTATGTTGGAATCATTTCCTTATATAGATATTAAAATATAAAGAAAATGTTACCATATAGACCTCCATCAAGAGAAGAAAATAATGACATAATATAAAACCTCCATTAGGCATGTGGAGTCTGTGAAACCAAACCTCAATTCTCTAGGGCCCCCGGGCTCCTGATTGGAGTCTCCTTGCCACTCCTGTGCTATAGACAGACAGACACTTAACACCCAGGAGCTCAGAATAGGGGAAGCTGGGTAGAAAGGGGGAGGAGTTCCACGGAGCCAGGACCACAGGGCATCACCCAGTTGGGAACAGCCGACCCACTCCCATCGACTGCCAGCAGAGGGAGCACTGACTGGATGTCCCGCACCGCTTCCATGACTTTGATCTCACACTTGAGCTTCTTTGTCACCCAATCGAGGGCAGCCACATGACCCCGACGACCTCCTAATGCCAGGTGTCTGTGGAGGTGAAGCAGAGTTGACTCAGGGGGCGCCCTGACCTGACGGGAGGAATCATTCGGTCAGCCCCGCCCCAGCCCCTCGACAGACGGAGGAAGCGATGCAGCAACCAGACATGCACGGCATAACCGAGGCGGAGACACGCACGGCATAGCCGAGGTGGGCACAGCTCCTGCAGCTGAGGAAACGCAGCCACATGAGGTCACAAGTCACACAAGGGGAGATGGCTCAGTCAGAGAAGAGCTTGCCACGAAAGCACACAACCTGAGCCTAGATCCCAACCACACGTGTAATCCCAGTGCCGGAGAGGCCAAGGAAGACAGATCCTGCTGGACACAGTCCAGGCGGCCAACAAGCTCCAGGTTCAGTGAGGAACCCGCTCAGCAGTAAGGTGGAGGACTAAAGAGACGGCTGAGCGGTGAGCACCTGCCGCTCCTGTGGAGAACACTGGCTTCGGTTCCCAGCACCCACACAGCGGCTCACAGCTGTCAGTAACTCCAGTTCCAGGGGATCAGGCACCGTCTTCTGGCCTCTATGGGCACCAGGCAGGCATGCAGTGCCCAGACATACACACGGGCCAAACACTCATACACATAAAATAAAATGAAAAATATTGAAAAACAGTGGAGGAAACATCAGAGATGATCTGGTGGCCAGGGTGACAGCGGTGTGGGGGATGTGGGAGACTTTCTATCTAATGGCAGACTCCCCCAGCACCAGGAGGGTGTGTGCCTCACCGTCAAGTCCCCACCCTGACAGCCCCCACCCCAACCCCTGTCAACTTCAGAAAACTCCCTCCTCTTCAGCCCCCTTTACCCAGCAACAGCCGGGTCGGCTCTCTGGCTTCTCTGATTGGCTGACCCAGCCTCGCTGGTTTCCCCGGTCTTTTCATCTGTGTAGTCAGGCTACAGGAAGCCGCCGGGTGTCAGGGTTTCACCTGTCCCCAATCTGTCTCAGTTCTCTTCACTGTCCTGTGATCACAGTCATCAGCGTAGATCCCCAACCCGTGCTCTGAGGGGAGAATGTTCCAGAGTAAAGCTGAGGTCCTGAGAGCCTCCTTCCTGGCTTTCCTACTGAGTCTCCCAGGATTTGCAGCCATCAAAGGTCAGGAGGATGAGGGGACTGGGGTCATCAAAGGTCAGGAGGATGGGGGACTGGGGTCATCAAAGGTCAGGAGGATAGGGGGACTGAGGTCATCAAAGGTCAGGGGGATGGGGGACTGGGGTAATCAAAGGTCAGGAGGATGGGGGGACTGAGGTCATCAAAGGTCAGGAGGATGGGGGGACTGAGGTCATCAAAGGTCAGGAGGATGGTGAGGGGCACAAGGTATGAAGGGAAGGTTCTCCAGGTGTGGCCGTGCACCAGGTGTGGAGGGGAGGTGCATCAGATATCGGGGTGTGCCAGGTGTGGAGTTGGACCGAAAGTGGTAGTGTACCAGGTGGGGGGGGTGCATCAGGTGTGGGCGTGTACCAGGTGTAGAGGAGAACCAGGTGTGGCGGTGCACCAGGTGTGGAGGGGAGGTGCACAAGGTGTGGAAGTACACCAAATGTGGAGTAGCACCAGGTGTGAGGGTGAACCAGGTATGGAGGTGAATCAGGTGTGGTGGTGCACCAGGTATGTATGACAGTGTACCAGATGTGGGGGTGCGCTGGGTGTTGAGATGCATCAGGTATGGAGGTGTACCAAAGATCTAAGAGCTAGCTTAAGTGATTGGCCAAGCAATGATTCAAATAATATAGTTTCCGTGTGATTATTTCAGGTCTGAGCTGCCAGGAATGAATGAACAGTTTCTCCCAACAATAGATAGATATATGATTGATAGATAGATGACAGACAATAGATAGAGAAAGGTAGGTAGATAGAAACAGATGATAGGATGGGTGTATAGATAGATAATAGATAGATGAAAGACAGATATAGATGATAGATAGATAACAGACACATAGGTAGACGATAGACAGAAAGATCATTTTGGCCAGCCTAGAATAAGAAAATTACTTCTCTCTCCCTCACTTTTTGTAGCGCCGGCCTCTCCAGCATCAACCAAATGGACTTTTCCTTTCTTCCCTATCACAGCTCACTTCCTCTCTTCTCATCGCTAGGTCTTGCCTCTTTAGCCATCTCCCTTTCAGGCTGCACACTGTAGCCACCGAGACCTTCCTAAACCCCGGTCTGATGTCACACCCCTGGCCAAACCTTGTGAGAGTTTCCTGGCTTTCAAGTTGGCATTAAATTCCTAAGGTCAAGAAGTCCGTCTTGACCTCTCTGGCCCTTTCTTCCTGTCTCCTGTTCCATACCTGGAGTTCACTGCGGAAGCCTCTGTGGTTCTCCGAATGCCTGGACCATTCTTCCTGAAGTGGGAAATGGCGTTGCCCACAGCTTCAGTTCAACAGTTCACTCATGGGGAACAGCGCCTTCCCGGGCGCCCGGACGGCAGACAGTATTCAGTGCCTGCTGCAAGTTCTGCGCTCCGTCCTCTCCACCCTTTCCTGTCTGCTCCTGCAGTCAGTGTAAGCGTGGGGGCTAGGAACCAGGCCACATTGCTGTCTCTCTCTCTCTCTCTCTCTCTCTCTCTCTCTCTCTCTCTCTCTCTCTCTCTCTCTCTCTCTCTCTCTCTCTCTGTGGTGTGTTGAGATAGGGTCTCACTCTGTGGCTCAGGAAGAGTTTGAACTTGTGGGCTATCCTCTTGCCTCAGCCTCCCAGATGCTGGGCTTGCAAGCCTGAGCTACCACGCCTTGGCTTGTAATAAGTAGGTTTTTAGCATATTTGTTTCTAGATGATGTTGATTTCTTAGTGTGAGAAGTTCTGAGGACTGAGCCCCATGAACGTTGATTAAGTACCCCACCTCTGAATTGTCTGAGGTTCCTCCAGCTTTTTGTACTTTTTATTTTGAGATAATTTGGAACTAAATTGTCCAGACTGGCCTTGAAACTGAAATTCTCCTGCCTCAGCTGTAGCTGGGATTACAGGCCTGCGACACCAGATGGTATGAAAATGACTGTTGAAGGAAAACACTTTGTTTCATATCTGACTGATCTTTAGAACTCAGAATTTGTGAAAATAATTAAAAAGTGTAAGCCAGTTTTTAAGAATAATTTATTTGTATTTTGTGTACATTGGTGTTTTGCCCTCATGCATGTGTGTGTGAAGGTGTCAGATCCCCTGGAACAGGAGTTACAGACAGTTGTGAGCTGCCATGTGGGTGCTGGGAATTGAACCCAGGTTCTCTGGAAGAGCTCTTAATTGCTGAGCCATATCTCCAGCCACAACTCCCAATTATCTTTTTTTTTTTTGCTTTGTTTTGTTTTTGGAAACAAAGTTTCTCTGTGTAACAGTCCTGGATCTCACTCTGTAGACCAAACTAGCCCCAGATTTACAGAGATTCACCTGCCTCTGCCTCCTGAGTTCTGGGATTAAAGGGGTGCACCACCACCACTGCCCAGCATGAGCCAGTTTTAAATGGTGCTTTAAGGGTTTTTTAATCTCCCTTTTCACCTGTTTTATGAAGAAGATTCCTCTGGCTCCTGAGGAACCTGAAATCCTTCTGAGGGAACATTCTGCTGCTGCTGAACAGTCCAGGCATAGACGCTCCCACCTGCCGGGGCCGGAGATCCACAGGGAAGAGGCAGGGACGCCCAGCCCTCCCCACTCTTTCCCCGCCATTCCAAGTCCACAACGCTCACATGTTTATCACATTGTTGCTAACGATAGCTTGTCTTGTGTTTGCTGTTTCTAACAAACTAATCAAGACTAAGAAACAAAAGATCAAACCACACAGGGATTTCAAATTTAACAACTTCTATAATTCCATTTAAAACAAAATAAAAATGTTTAAAACTGTATTGAAAAATAAAGTTTGAAACCATTGTCAAATCCGTCCTCAAGATTAAAAAAAATGGTCATAATATCAGCACACACTGCAGGTGTGGGCTTATGAACTGAAACGAAAACCCAGAGACCATAAAGAGCCCTACAGCTCAGTGAGCTTTCCCCTCAACTTTCAATTTTCTGCCCGCCTGTCCCTCCATCCCCGTCAGTTCAAACCTAATTTCACATCTGCAGTGGTAGAACTGAGAGCCGTGGGGAGAAGACCGTCTTTCTCCTAATTTCTCATCTCTGTGTGACCTGGTACAAGTTACCTACTCTCTCTGAGTTTCCCTGGTTATTTCTAGGGAAGTTGTAACGTCCACATGAGTCAAAGACATAGCCTACTAGCAAATGCCTGGCGCTCAGTGCTCAGTGAGTTCCCGGGACCCCTGCAGAATCACGGGGTTCTGCCTGGGAGTAAGCAGGGAAGTCTCTCCAGCCCCCTCTCCCCTGTAGCCCCCCTCCCCTGCCTGCTGTTTTCTGTTGCTCCTTCTCCCCACATTTCCCTCTGTCGGCCTTGTCTGACTTTATGAATAACTCCAGCCATCCCCCTGCCTCAGCACCACACAATAGTTCTTACATTTGTCCATCCTTCTGCATCTTGTTTGAACAGCGGACCATGTAGCAATGTATGACATATTCGCACAGACGCAAACGCCGTCGGGTGACTGCATGTATGAGTTTGATGGTGATGAGCAGTTCTACGTGGATCTTGACCGGGAGGAGACAGTCTGGGGCCTGCCAGAGTTCAGCACGGTCTATGGCTTTGACGCCCAGGGGGCTCTGCCCTACATCGCCCGCCTGAAGAGCAACCTGAGAGCCTTGATCCAGAGACACAACATCACCCAGGTCCCCAGTGGTGCGGGTTCTCTCGCTTTTTCCTCTGCCCACCCGGTGGGAGAGGTGGGAGGGCCCTGGCCCACACTCAGAATGGGAGCCCCTAACTCCTTTTGCTGATCTTCTGCTGTAAGTGGGGGACTGGTGTTGGCTCAGTGGAAGGAGTCTCCCAGCTCTCGCTCTGGACCCCAAAGGTGCTGTGAATTTAGCCTGCAGCAGAAGACACTGGGTGGGAACTCATTGACTATCCAGAACTTACCAGGTCCTGTCTCTTCCTAGAGCCTCCCGAGGTGACCGTGTTCCCCAAGAACCCAGTGGAGCTGGGTCAGCCCAACGTCCTCATCTGCCACATCGATAGGTTCTTTCCCCCAGTGCTCAATGTCACATGGCTTCGTAATGGGAAGCTGGTCACTGAAGGGACTTCTGAGACCGTCTTTCTGCCCAGCACGGAACTCAGATTTCACAAGTTCCACTACTTGACCTTCGTGCCCACGGCCGAGGACGTGTATGACTGCAGGGTGGAGCACTGGGGCCTGGACCAGCCAAGCCTCACTCACTGGGGTGAGCAGAACTCCCTCCTCCCCCCAGCACCCCAACATACCTCTCCCGGGACCTCGCGGCCAGCAACCCACTGTGCTAACTGCATCTCATTTCCCACAGAAATGCAGGAGCCGCTCCAGGCTGCGGAGACCATGGAGACTGTGGTCTGTGTGCTGGGCCTGGTGGTGGGCCTGGTGGGCATCGTCATTGGCAGTGTGTTCATCGTAAGAGCTCTGCACTCGGGCCACGACCCCCGGATCCAAGGACCCCTGTGAGCAACGTTAGGGTGGAGTCAGGGAGTCTACTCCTCTGTGCAGAAAGGAGGGAACATTCACACTGATGAAGCAGACACAGATCTCTCGACGGCGAGCAGGACAGAGCTATGAGAGGCGTCACTGACAACCCTGGGAACCCAAGGCTCGGGCCCTGCCCTGAGCATCTGCGCTTGCAGCCACTGTTATCCGTCCTCCATGTGAGGTGCTAACGCCACTGCGGTTTGATGCTTGAGAGATGCTTACGGAGTCTTTGTGCCCACAAGCGCTTTAAGGCCAAGGCCACACAGGCTGTCTGTAACTTCCTCACTACCCTGCCTTTCGTGGAGAAAGAGACCAAGTTCCACCAAGGTCTAGTCTGTCCTGCGCATGCGCGTGCCTAGTTACGTGGTGATGGCTGACGCACAGTTTCCTGTCTCTACTTGGACCCACTGATGGCAAAACTCACATAAAAATTCCCTTCTGGTCTTCTATTTATCAAAACCTATTTATCAAAATCTATTTTATTTCAAATTCTTAGTTTTTTAATTCTCCTGCTGGGTAACGATCTCTCCACGATGACGGCGCCTCTCCCCTTCATCTTCTCGTTCTTCACTCTGGACCTCGGGGCCAAGGTTAAGGCCCCCCCCCCTCCACAGAGGTCCCACGGACTTCAGGGCACCCCTGTTCTGACTCCACGTTCATTCGCTCCTCTGTTCCCTTACTCTCAGGTCTAGCCTCTTCCCCCACACCATATGTAAACACGCTAATGTATTTAGTGAGTTTCCCGTTACATATAGTTACTGCGCGCAATGTGTGGCAGTATTCACCGTTCCTGCGACTTTAGTGAGCTCAGATAGCATCGCCCAGCACGTTTAAAATTTGAACCTCTGGTCTGTTCTGCTCTCACCACCCTCCTGTCTCTACACCTCTGGGATACCTGCGCTGTGTCCCATTATCTCTTAATATTCTCACACAGATCTGCATCTCTGGGATTCATGGACCCTAGAAAGCAGTTTCAGGGAGCTGGGCATGCGGCCCCTTCCCTTGGCTGTGTGCCGCATGTCCACTGCCACTGCTATGTCTATGTCGGTTCCCAGTCTCCTGCAGTGTCTGCAGCCACGTCCACCCCTGCCCTGTACGGTCTCCTGCAGTGTCCACAGCCACGTCCACCCCACCCTGTCCAGTCTCCTGCAGTGTCTACAGCCACATCCACCCCTGCCCTGTACGGTCTCCTGCAGTGTCCACAGCCACGTCCACCCCATCCTGTCCAGTCTCCTGCAGTGTCTACAGCCATGTCCCCGTCGTGTCTCCTTGCTTTTATGTGAACTGCAGCAGCTCTGTCCACGTTCCTTTAATTACTTCTAGTTGTGACCATCCTCACTTGTGGCTTCTTTGGGCTCCATTGTTCTTGTTCTGGTAGTCTCTGGCTTGCATCCTTTGCCCATTTTTTGGAATCAGTGCTTCTGGAAGCCGAGGACTGGGGTTTCCCCTGCCATCTTGCCGGTGTCATCACCCAGTAGGGCTTCTTTTCTCTCTGATGGCTCCCTGCAAGTCACAAGGTTTCCTGTGCTGCCGACTCTGGGCCACAGAGGCTCTGGGGAAGACAGGTTCCCCATAGGGCAACCTGGGGGGAGACATGAGCAAGGCTAAGGCTGCCCTGTCATCAGCCCCCCCCCATCCTTCTGCCTCCTGCACGAACTTCCTATGGGCATCGAGCCCCTCTGTACACCCTGAGTCTCTGTGTAGTCCCTCAGACTCGAGTTCTCTTTGGACTTTTATAATTTTCCATGGAATATAAAGGGAGGAGGCTGGGACCTTTCCTAGGGTATAGCCTTATGATGAGAAGCCTGTCTGTCCCTTCCTTCCTTTTTTCCTCCCTCCCTCCCTTCCTTCCTCCCTTCTCAAAGCCCTGCACCTCCATGCCAGGCTAGGAGCCCCTTCCTCACGATTTTTATCTGTAGAGGTTAGCACACATCTTGACATTTAGTAATTCCTCCATAAACATCTGTTGATCTGCTGGAAATAGTGTTTAATCCACCACTGATTTGCCCAGAGCCTCACTTGTCAAAGGCTAGGAGCGGGCTACAGGCTGTAGGAGGATAAAGATGTCCTGTGGTACCACCATTAGGAGACAGCCTCATAACTGCCACCGTGGTAGAAAAGGACATCACACAAACATGAGCAAGGCTCCAGGGAAGCCTTGTGGAAAGCAGGGCTGAGGAACTGGGCCAGGGAGCCATAGGGAAAGAGAAGGGAAGGGAGGTGGGATCCCAGACTCCCTCCTGAACCTGAGGTTGACGGTGACTGTGTCTCGCTGCAGGTGCTGACTTTCTGAAAAGAACACGGCCTTGGGAAGGTGCTCTGACCTTGTCTCTGCCTCTGTCCTCGGTTATGATGTAGCCTCAGCTGTCCTGGAACTCTCTATGTCCCCAGCTGGTTTGGAACTCTCAGAGGGCTTTGCCTCTCTGAATGACTTGCTGACCTTAAAGTGCTATGTATGTCCTTAGTATCGCTGTCAGCAAAGCAAAGGTAGCAGGCAGGAGTTGCTGTGATTCTCATCAGATTGGACACCCCTCCCTGGGATCCCCAGCTCTGGCCTGGACTCCCCTCCCTGGGCTTCCCAGCTCCAGCCTGGACACCCCTCCCTGGGCTCCGCAGCTCTGGGTTCCTGCATGATCACTTTGCTGTCTCCTTCCAGAGAATTCCTAAGGACAACTTTTTCTGTTTCTGAGCTGGGAGGCTCAGCCTTTCTGGATGGAAGAGGACACTTATGACGAATGTCTCTTGACAGTGTGGCTTCAAGTGACGCCATGGGAGCAGTTACCGAGGGTTCTGACCTAGCTTTTGGGGAGAGTCTGAGAGTTCGGATTGGCCCTGGAGAGGGGACAACAGTGAACGCAGATGAATATTCGTTTGGGTGTAGTTTGAGAAGAGATTGGCCCTGCCTCTGGTTTGACTGTAATAAAATGCCTTTTGGTAAACTTTCACTTCTTCTAATACATAAGTTAAAATTAAGATGGCATCTCATGGGTACTTACAAATTCTAGCATTTTTACCTATAACGGACATGGAAATAAGAAGAATCCACACTCACTTTGTGGGTGCTGGGAACTAAACTGGAGTCCCCAAGAACAGCCGGTGCTCTTGAACTCTGGGCCATCTCTCCAGACTCTGATGTGGGATCTTTGATAAAAACTAATTTCAGTAACACATGGCTGTACATCTCTATGTGTGTGATGAGATATTTTGTTGTGTGTGTACAATGTGTCGTGCTGAATCAGTAAATTGTCACCCATCATCATGATCAACTGTCATTTCTCTCTGTCGGGAACATTCAAAACCTTCTCCACCAGCTGTTCTGAGACAGTCGGTGTGGTCAGCCGGCTAGCCATCCTCTCCACAGACCCTCTCTCTCCCCAGCCCCTGACGCCATCACTGATTGGCCATCCTCTCTCTCTCTCTCTCTCTCTCTCTCTCTCTCTCTCTCTCTCTCTCTCTCTCCCCAGCCCCTGACGCCATCACTGATTGGCCATCCTCTCTTCCCAGCCCCTGACGCCATCACTGATTGGCCATCCTCTCTTCCCAGCCCCTGACACCGTCACTGATTGGCCATCCTCTCTCCTCAGTCCCTGTCACCCTCACTTGGTGTAGGAGGTCCTTCTGTCTATGTGCTGCTTTTATTGGTTAATTAATAAAGAAGCTGCTTTTGGCCAGTGGCTTAGCAGAGTATAGTCAGGCTGAAAGAGATATATAGAAAGAATAGGCAGAGTCAAGGAGACACCCTGGAGCTGCCAGAGGGGGAAGATACAAGCCTCCAGCCATAACCTTGCTGGTAGGTCACAGTTATATGGTAATATATAAAATATTAGAAATGGGTTAATCAAAGATATAGGAGCTAGCTAGCAATATGCTTAAGTGATTGGCCAAGCAGTGATTTAAATAATACAGTTTCTGAGTGGTTATTTCGAGTCTGGGCAGCCGGGAACGAACACAATCACTGGTCAGCCATCTCTCTCCAGACGCCATCATGGTTCTGCTCTCCCCGTCCACAGCATCAGTCAATTCAGTGTCCACGTGTGAGGACTGTGTCTTCCCATATCCCACTTGCTCATCCCCGTGCCTCATGTGGATTTCAGTTGTTACTTGTGGCTGTGTGATAGTCCACTGTACACACATTACATTGCACCTGGTGGACACTTACGTTGCACTCTTTGTCTACATGTGGTGTGTGTATATATGTGTGTGCTTGTGGTGTGTGTATATATGTGTGTGCTTGTGGTGTGTGTATATATGTGTGTGCTTGTGGTGTGTTTCATATGTGTGTGTGTTTGTGGTGTGTGTATATATGTGTGTGTGCTTGTGGTGTGTTTCATATGTGTGTGTGTTTGTGGTATGTTTCATGTGTATATGTGTTTATGGGTGGGCGTGTGTGTGATGTGTGTGCACGAGTGTGCTCATGCGTGTGGCCACTGAGCCTGATTTATTTTATTTTTAATTATGCACACGTGTGTGTGAGTGTGTGTGAGTGTGTATGTGTGTGTGTGAGTGTGTGTGAGTGTCAATGTGTGCACGAGAGCACAGGTGCCCACCGAGACTAGAGGCGTCGGGTCCCCCCGGAGCTGTAGTTGTGGGTGTGGTGAGCCGTCTCATGTGGATGCTGGTGTCCAAACTCTGGTTCTCTGGTAGAGCAAGGCGTTCCCTCACCTGCTGAGCCATTTCCCAGCCTACCTCTGTGTCCTGGCTGGCCTTCTGTGTCAACTTGACACAAGCTAGAGTCATCAGAGGAAGGAGCCTCAGCTGAGGAAATGTCTCCCTGAGATCCAGCTGGTAGGCATTTTCTCAGTTAGTGATCAGTGCGTGAGGGCCCAGTGCATGATGGGAGGTGTCATCCCTGGGCTGCTGGTCCAGGGTTCTATAGTAAAGCAGGCTGAGCAAGTCATGGGGAGCAAGCCAGTAAGCAACATTCTCCATTGCCTCTACCTCAGCTCCTGCCTCCAGGATCCTTCCCTGTTTGAGCTCCTGTCCTGACTTCCTTCAGTGATGAACAGCAATGCTGAAGTGTGAGCCTAATAAACCCTTTCCTCCCCTGCTTGCTTTCTGGTCAAGGTGTTTCATCGCAGCAATAGAAGCCCTGCCTAAGACACTCCACCTTACTTTTTGAGATGGGGTCTCACTGAACCTGGAGCTGACCCATGTGACTAGACTGGATGGCCAACAGATTTCATGGATCTGCCAGGCTCTGCCTTCCCAGGGACATGCTACAGACATGCTCCACCATGTCTGGGTGTCTATGTGTCCTGGATTCCAGACTCAGGTCTTCATGCCCATGTGGCAAACTCTGCCCACAGAGGCACCTGCCCAGACCTGGAAATCTGTGTTTGTTACAAACCCCGCGGGTGACTCTTTGGAACTGAAGACCCACGAGACTTCTCAGATGCGGCCAAGCTTGACAACCGTTTATTTCAGCATCTTTGACAAAGACTTTCAGAAGTTTGATGAGAGTTCTCTTTATCTGGGTAGATGGTTATCCGTTTTTACTTCCTTTCTCTTTCTGAGACAGGTCTACGTAGCCCTGGCTGGCCTGGAACTCACTCTGTAGAGTAGGCTGGCTTCAGACTCACAGAGATCCACCTGCCTCTGTCTCCAGAGTTCTAGGCTTAGCATCTCTTTATTTTCTGTATTGATTGAGTCCCTTCCAGCGCCAGCCATTGGTACAACCCATCAAAGGGAAAAGCCAGGGGCACGAGCACACCAGCCAGTCTCTGGCCCACTGTGGAATATGCTGCATTTGGTTAACTATGTAAAGATGTGTTGTTGTTTCACCTTGCCTGCCTAAAGCATTTGATTGGTCAGCCAATAACTGGGCATAGGAGGGATTGGTGGGGCTGGCAGGCGGAAGGAAAGGTAAGCCAGTCAGCCAGCTGGGGGCCAGCCAGACACAGAGGAGGCGGGAGAGTGGGATGGACGGTGTGTGGGTGAGGTAAATGAGCCCTAGGCAGCACCAATGAATAGAAATGGGAAGCCTACGCTAGGACCAAGCATTCACACTTAGTAATAAATCTCTTTGTCATGATTTGGGGGCTGGCCAGCATAAAAGAGGGTGCTTGGGGACCAGAAGGGATAAAAAGAGACCACCTGTGCCCTCTGCCTGCCTCCCATCGGTTGTGGGAACTGCCTGTAGCTTTTCTTCAGGAAAGCAGCTCCAACGGTTGCACATCCTTTCTTACAGGATAAAATAATATTTTTGAAAATGTTTTACTGATTTAAAGAGCTTTTATTGTAGAGATTTCCCTTTAAAGTTTCTTTGTGCATTTTATTTCTTATTTTTACCCCAAATTTGTCCCAAGGGATCTACATGGAAAATCAGGTTCCTTCTATCAGAGACCACACGGAGGCTTTGTCCCCAGCACAGCTGTTTGGTGCTCTGAGACCTCCTGCTCCTTCCTGAAGCCCCTTCTTGAACAATGAAGTGACAGGTGACCCATGGCCTCCACCCTCCACCTTCTCACCCAGACTCTTTGCTTCTCTACCCAGCAACAGACCTGTTAACTCAGAGAGCTGCTCTGATTGGTTGCTTACAGCAAGGGTCTTCCCCTAACCTAGATCTGTTTCTCTTTACCTCCGTCTTGCTCCCTCGCTTCCCAAACAGATGTTGTTACAGTGCCCCACCCCCTCAGCAATGGTCCTCCGTGTGGAGCTGGTCCTGGCGTTTCACACCCTGATGCTCTTCCTGAGTCCCCAGGGAGTATGGGCCATCAAGGGTAAGTGCTGGGGACCCCTGGGGGTGGGAGGAGACTAGGGAGACAGCAGAGGGAAGAGTCTCTCCGTCTCTGGTCTATGGGCAACTCCCTCCAGCTGTGGGCAAACCCCAGCCCCTTTGGAACATCCACTCTGGAACCAGCTCCAGCTGTGACAGGGTCTTCTCTGGGCTCCCTTTACCTTCAGAGTCCTCCCTGTCCCTTCCTCTTTTCTGAGACCCATGTCCTCAGCCGCCTCACCGCTCAGCACCCTGGCACCTCTGCCACTTCCTGGCTCACACACGTCTCGCCCAGCTTCAGAGCGGCATTCTCCGCTGTGTATGTGTGAGCCCCTGGCTCACACACAGCTTCAGTGCGGCGTTCTCCGCTGTGTGTGTGTGAGCCCCTGGCTCTTCCACTTGACACCATGCAGACACAGGACAGCCCTCACACTCACCTCACCCCTGTAGAGCTCTGAAGGCACGGACGTGTAGCCCTGGATATCCAGGAAGTGTTCTGTCGTGAGGTGAGACCCATTCTGTCATCTCTGGGACGTGAACTTTGAACTCCTGATTTTTTAACTTTTTTTTTATTGATTTTTATTGAGCTCTACATTTTTCTCTGATGCCCTCCCTTTCTCCCCCCTCCCCTTCAACTCTCTCCCAAGGCCCTCATGCTCCCAATTTACTCAAGAGATCTTGTCTTTTTCTACTTCCCTTGTAGATTAGATCCATGTTTTTTTTTTTTTTTAAGAAGAGACAGGTTTTCTCTGTGAACCTCCAGCTATCCTGGAACTCGTTCTATAGACCAGTCTGCCCTCAAACTCAGAGATCCTCCTGCCTCTGCCTCCTGAGTACGGAATTAAAGGTGTGTGCTACCACTGCCAGGCTTGAACTCCTGACTTTGTATCCAGTGTATCCTACGATGCTTTGGGCTCTTCTCTCTCCCTCTCCACCTCCAAGTGTTTCCTAGACGGTTCCATCGGGCTATGTAGCCCAGGCTGGTCTTTTCACTTTCTGAGTGCTGGGGTTGCAGGACCGCGCCACCATGCCTGGCTTGTGGGGAGCTGTCACCCCAGTCTCTGGGCCACAGATCTTAGTTCATGCCCCTGTGCGTCACTGCACCTCCTCCACGCCTATACTGACTGTCTTTGCCAAAAGCTCCCCTTCAGTGCTTCCCCTTAGCCACTCCCCCCTCACCCCTGTTTCACCACCTTACACACAAGACCTGACAGCGCGGCTGCGGCTACAGCTACAACAAATGATGGGGGCCTGGGAACCGCAGACACCATATCCGGGGGCACCCCTCCTTCCCAGCCTGCTTTGCGGGCTCTGTCCTCACACGTTCTGGTCACACACCCTCTGTCTTCTCCTTGCCGTGTCTCTGCAGCCTCTCAAGGGTCCGCTATGGCATAAACAGGACTGTCCCCCCACAAAGCCCAAGACGAGGCCAGGCTGAGAGTGAGCAGGTCCCACACCTGAGTCAGACCTGCTTCTCTCCCCCCTCCCTGCCCTCACCCGATACAGCTGACCACATGGGCTCCTATGGACCCGCCTTCTACCAGTCCTACGATGCTTCTGGACAGTTCACACATGAATTTGATGGGGAACAAATTTTTTCTGTGGACCTGAAGAACAGGGAGGTCGTGTGGCGTCTGCCTGAATTTGGGGCCTCCCTATACTCGAACTTCCAAAGTGGGCTGGCCAGCATCGCCATGATCAGAGCTCACCTGGACGTCTTGGTGGAACGCTCCAACCGAACCAGAGCCATCAGTGGTACCTGGCCTTCTCTCTGCCCCACCCAACTAGGCAGAGTCCTCCTGTGCCCTCCAGCCCCAGTAGGCACCACCCCAGAGCTCCCCTGCGGGTGACCACATGGGAGGAAATGTCCCTCACTCTTGGCCCTAGTAAGGCCCAGCTGTAAGGGGTGGAGCTCCGGGATTCAGGATCTCATTCCTCCTAGAGCCTCCCAGGGTGACGGTACTCCCCAAGTCTCGCGTGGAGCTGGGAAAGCCCAATGTCCTCATCTGCGTGGTGGATGATATCTTCCCGCCTGTGATCGATGTCACCTGGCTGCGCAACGGCCAGCCCGTCACTGAGGGAGTGGCCCAGACCAGCTTCTACTCCCAGCCTAACCACAGGTTCCGGAAGTTTCACTACCTGACCTTCGTGCCCTCCGCCGAGGATGTGTATGACTGCAGGGTGGAGCACTGGGGCCTGGACCAGCCACTCCTCCAGCACTGGGGTACGGGGTCCCACGTCATCGCCTGTCCACGTCCGTGTCTCCTCTACTCCGGATCCCTTCTTGTGTCCTCTGACCCTCGCTTTCTCTCCCAGAGCCCCAGGTGCTTACCCCACCACCAGAAACCACCGAGACCCTGGTCTGCTACATGGGCCTGGCCGTCGGCTTTGTGGGCTTCCTTCTGGGCACAGTTCTCATCGTCACAGGCATGTGCCTGCCCAGTGTCCGCAGGTGCAGAAGCCCAGGGAGTCTGGGGGTGAAGGGAGGAGGGGAAATCAGAGATCTGTGAGAAGCAGAGGGGAAAGAAGGGGAGGGGGACGGGAAAGGAAGGGGAGAGGAAATAGAGAATCAGGGGTTTGGCCGAGTGGATGAATGAATGTGGCTGGCCTTGGTCATCTGGTTTTTACTACTTTAGGTAACTATTCCTCTGAGAGGAACCCGTGAGAAATGCCCCGTGGCTTCCTGGCAAGCTTCTGGAAGCTTCTGTGTCCTCAGCTCCAGCCTGCTACAGTGTGGACCCCCAGTGGCATCAACAACCTCTGTTCTACAGGTCCCTCATTTACTGGCTCCCAACTCCCATTAGAACTTGTGGGGCCCCATCTGCCGCCCTCCTGCCCAAGTGCACTCACGGTTCCGATTCATCCAAACCTCTGGCAGCCACACTAAATTCTCTTAACGGTTTTGCTGTTTGTCCTTTGTAAGGGATCTGGGGCAATACTTACAGCTGAGGGATGCTGAGCACAGAGAGGAGCCTGGGTGGTGACTGCCCAGCATGGCGGTTCACACGGGTGAACGGGGCTCATCTGTGCCTGGTTTGGCCCATATTTTGTCAGTGGGTTATTTCACCCAGGGGGCTTCATGAAACTCATCTCCTGAGTTCAGACTTGAAGGAAAAGTTACGGAGTATCTGATTACTGCAACAATGACAGCTCTGTAAGATGCTGGGAGCCAAGCTCACAGGGATTCTGCTCCTACAGGAACGCCCCTCCCTTTCGGACATTCCCCTATGACTGGCAAACAGCTGCCCAAGACTTGGCGTGCTACTAACACATCAGGCAGGAGGGCAGCACCGTGGGTCTACAATATACCCTGGGCTGGTCAATGGTTAGAGCATTAGCTGTTCCTACAGAGAACCTGGGTTTGATTCCCAGTACGCAGACGGTGGCTCGCAACGACCTGTGACTCCAGTTCCAGGGGATCCTGTGCCCTCCTCTGCCACCAGCACCCTTTTCCCCGGCTCCAGGCACACATATGGTGCACAGACATACATGCAGGTAAAAAATTCATGCATATCAAATTGAAATGATAAGTAAATCTTAAAAGAAAAAAGCTGGATTTCCAAGTGACCCACCTGCTCTCTCTAGTCGTGTGGGCTGGAAGATCTTAACCATGAGTAAAAGTGAAACTCACAGAGATCAGTGAACGCACAAGGCTGTGCCTGTCAGTCGCCGAATGAGTGACACAGATGGGTTTCCAAGCAGGAATGCCTTAGGGGTCTCTTGGGGTCTTCTGGATTAGGGTTTCAGGGGCAGGGAAGTAGCAACAGGAACTCTGTGATAAATGTGACATCACTGTCCCGATCCCAGCCTGAGTCTGGTAACAGGGTCTCTGACATAGGTGCTACTGGGAGCCTTTGGCTGGGAACCCTGCGGTCTGAGTTGGACCAAAAGGCTTCTGGAGAAACTGGGTTTGTGGTTTGCTAAAGCATCAAAGTTGATCAAGATGTAAATAGAACAAAAACTGTGAATTTGGCCCCGGGAAGGAAAGGGCTGATGAAGAAGTCATGGACTTCCCAGGAAGACTACCAAAAAATTCTAAGAAAGTGGGGGAGGTTGTCTTCGCCAGCAATAACAAGATCTACACCCGAGGAGAAACTATTTACCATAAAGGAACAGGGATGGGAGCACACAGAACTCGGGGTGGGTTTTGTCCTGTCCCCTGGGAACAGAGCTGGGACTTGACAAGCCAGCAGAATGTAGCCTGTCTTCTTGTGGGGCCACATGGCCTGCATGTTAGCCACAGCCCCTCCATGCTCACCCACACATTAGCCACTGCCCTCCGTGCTCGGTCACATGTGAGCCACAGCCCCTCCGTGTTCACCTACATGTTAGCCACAGCCCCTCCGTGCTCACCTACATGTTAGCCACTGCCCTCTGTGCTTGGTCACCCGCAGGACTAACTCCCAGTCACACTTTCAAATACTTGGAAAATGAACAACTGGCCACACCTGGGCAATCACCCATCCCAGGCCGATGTACTTAGAGCAGGGACAAGATCTCACAGCCCAAACGTACCCCTTGAGCTGAGGTGAGGGGTTGGGTTGCAGCAAGAGAGGATAGCCTAGCTCTCGGAAGACATCACCGTTTGTCATTACTTTTGTTCCCTTGGCTCCCTTTGGGCTCAGCAGGGTCCACCTCTTCCTGTGGGTTCACCTCCCCCATCACAGGTCACAATCCCCCCCACGATGACAGTGCCAGTTCCCCCTTCTGTTCTCCAGCCCACTGCCACTCCCCCCACGTTTCACTGAGACTCCTGCGATGGCTTCCTCAGATCCCCTCTGTGTGTAGCCTAAAAGTCAAAAAGCTCCACAGGATTTGTGACCAAACCCCTCCAAGCCTCCTTTCTTACCGTGGCCTCCTCCTTAGAGACAATAACTGTCAACTGGCCTAGCAGCCTCTGTCCTGAGATTTGCATGTGGTTTGCCTGCACCCATCCACGGTGTGGCAGCTTGGTCCCCAGTGTTGCTGATGTTGAGGTTGAGTCAACCTTTAAGGGAGGCTCTTAGGTCCCTGGGGACCTTGCCCCAGGGAGGGATTGAGGTAGCTCTGGTCGGTGAGTTGTAAGAGCCAGCCTGATCCTGACTTCTCTCTGGCTTCCTCTCTGGCAATGCGGTCTCTCCTCCCATGCACTTCCTCTGTGGGGAATCCTTAGTCTCCGGGTCCTCACCGGAGACTGGCATCGTGTCCTGATGCTCCAGAGCTATGAACTAAATACATCTTTTTTTTTAAAGATTTATTTATTTACTGTGTATACATTGTTCTGCCTGCATACCAGGAGAGGGCAACAGATCTCATTATAGATGGTTGTGAGCCACCATGTGGTTGCTGGGAACTGAACTCAGGACCTTTGGAAGAACAGCCAGTGCTCTTAACCTCTGAGCCACCTCTCCAGCCCCTAAATACATCTTTTAAAGGATAATAGCATTTTGTTGATGGACGATAGCAGTTGGTAGTGATCACCTGTTCATGTCACATGGGATGGATTACTACATCTTGATGGATCTTGTTTCTGTTTTGAGACAGGGTTCCATTACATAGCCCGGCTGTCCTGGAACTGGCTATGTAGACCAGGCTGGCCTAGAACTCACTGTGACCTGTCAGCCTCCATTGGGATGAGAGGTACATCAGCATGTATCTCAGGTCTTTAGCTTTAGGCTTTATTTCTTCTCTTTCTGTTGTGGAATGTTACTTCAGCTATAGAAAGGTGCGCTGAATTTGCTGATGTTGTGGAATGTTACTTAACCATGTAAAGATGTGTTACATTTGTTTATGCTGCATTTGTTCAACGAAGTAAAGATGTGTTGCCTGCCTAAGGCACCTGATTGGTCTAATAAAGAGCTGAATGTCCAGTAGTTAAGCAGAGAAGGGATAGGCAGGGCTGGTGGGCAGAGAGAATAAATAGGAGGAGGAATCTAGGCTTGAGAGGAGAAAGAGGGAGAAAAAAGGAGAAAAATGAGGAAGATGCTAGACAGACAGACAGACACGGAAGAAGCAGGAAAGTAATACATACAGAAGGAAAGAAAGGTAAAAAGCCTCTCAGAAGTGTTTGCTCTTGCTAGTTAGTCCTCGGTGACGCAGCTGCTCTGCTGGCATCTCGTCAGGGTCTCTCGTTCCCTTTTTCCAGCCACTACCCTTCTATGTTCTGTCGGGTCCCGTGCTCCTTGGCTTCAGAGAGAGCGTGGGAAGGAGGCCAGCTGTATGCAATGTGGGCGGAGGAACATGACCTTCTTCCCCGCTGACCCTTAGACTGTGTCCTGAGCAGTAGGTTGGTCAAGGTGGAAGCAGTCCCTATGAGAACGTCTAAGCGATGTCTCTAGTTGTTCAGCTTCCAGCTGAAAAGCCACGGACATTCAGAGTTCTGAGACTTGGTGTGAGTCTGGGCAGCATTTCCCCTTCCTCCTGCCCCTTCCGGACAGGGTGAAGATCCTTCTCAAACTGCAACAACTTTAACCTCTAGAAACTCACCCCAAATCGCCGCTGCCCACGTCACAACTTTCACAAGCCTGTCTGAATTTGCACAAGTTACTCTGTGTGCCAGACTTACCTTCCTCTGCCAAGACCCTGCCTGGTGGCCCCCAAGCCCAGATTAAATGTCAGTTCTGTGAAACTTTCTCCCCCTCCCCCACCTCCCATTCTGACTTTCTATGAAACACAACACCCTCTGGAGTGTCTGCCTTTCATATCTTGCTCCAGTAGAACAAGGAAGCTCTGTGCCTGGGACTTCCGGCCTTGGCAAAGTCTGCTTAACTCTGTTTGATGAGTTCCCACCCCAGCCTGCTTCCACTAGCCTGCACTGGTTTTTATCCCGCTGATTGACACACGCCTAGGTCACGTAATGGGTGAATCGCTGTCTCACTGAGACTGGAGCCACGCTAGGCAGTACTCTCCGTCTTCGTTTCTATTTTGAGGCAGGATCTTCCTAAGGTGCTCAGGCTGGCTTTGGCTCATTGTAGCCCAGGCTGGCCCTGAGCTTCATCTCCTGCTTCAGCCTCCAGTAGCTGGCGTTTCAGGCCCAGCTTGCTGAGTGCTCTTCATTTGTTATTCATATGTATTTCATGTCTTATTCATAAAGTCTAGAGTTTGGAACCATCTTTAAACCTTAACGCTGGCTCAAAACCACCCGACCTGCTGTGAGGCCATCAATTTGGATCGTCTCTTGCTCGTGGTTATTTAAAGAGTCTGTACCACAATTTTCACGCAGTATCGAGGGCCCAGAGAAGTCCCTTTCTTCCTGCCTCTGTCTGGAGAGCAGGTCTCTCTCCTCTCCTTGGGATATTTTCCTCTAGCTTCCAAGATACAAGCCAGTAATCTGAGTACACAGGAGGCAGAGGCAGAGGGATCACAAGTTGGAAGGGACCCTGCACAATTTAGTGAAATTGTACCTCAGATAGGCAAGCCTGTCACCTCACCTAGGCTTAGGACACTGCCTGGGACGGTTTGGGATTTGGCTCCATCTTGTGGTTCAAGATCACCTTATACCCTGACTGTCTCCAAATGTGCCTACACCTGTCTAGGAGGGACCTCTTGGTATTTCTGTCATCGGAAACTACCTGCTGTCTCCCCCTCCCAGGGTACCACACCACTCAGACCCTACTGACTTCCCAGGTGTATTTATTCCTCCCTTAGGCTGTCAGCATATGGATCTGCTCCGGGTCCCTCTCGTAGGTAATGCCCTGAAAACGGTCATCACAGCGCTGTGTGTTCAAGACTGCTTCCGCCACATCTACCCACTGGGCGGTGTTTCTGAGCCCTCCCTCCACCCCAGCCTCAGGCTTTTACAGACTTTCTGCCCCTGTTCCGTGATGTCCCCTAGGCCATGTACAGGTTAAAATCTCTGTGTTGCTCAGGGCGGAGCCATCAGCAGTCACTCGTTCCAGAACTTGGACCAGTTATGA